GGTGTTAGCTTTGTAATTAATTTATGTTTTGGTGCTAATTGTGTAAAATTCGAGTGTTAGTTTTGTAAATAATTGTATAAGGTGGATAATTTTATAATTAATTTCTATTAGGGTGATATTTGTGTAAAATGATCGACTATTGACCTTAACAGTTTACCAGCGTTGACCATTGTTGATCAGAACTTTGACCGGCGTTGACCGGGCATTAAACGACTTTTGACTTCGACCGAGTATACCTATCCTGACGTTTTTCGACGTCCTGAATCCGAATCCGAAGTTTGTTTCTCCAAATTCGAACCCGGTAAGCTATTTTTCACTGATTTATCATCCGATTCGATCCGTTTTTATGTAATTTCTATTGATATGGATCCGAGGAAATATATGAAGTTGAATTAAAGATCAAAGGCGTTCGAATGGAATTTATATGGTCGATCGATATGACATAGAAATCGAGGCAATACTTTACTACCTCTTTATGCTTTATAGAACATGTTAATATTGGTAAATGCATGAATAAGATAATGTTGGTCTCAATTGTGTAATTAATTAATTTCTACACTCGATTCGAATATAGTAGAAATTTGGTAACTGATTATGGTTCAGAGGACTTTTATAAGAATTGAGGAATTGCTAGAATTAAATTTCAAGTTCTATGTTTGGTAATAAAGAAATCAACGTGTATCTGTATCTTATAATTTATTTCATCAAAGGTCAAATGTTAAAGGTACTTGGATGGGAAAATTATGAGAATACTCCGGTAAGGTAAAAATTATGAAAATACCCTTATGTTATAAAAAGACAAGATTTGACTATGGAAGTTGGATAAGAGGTTTTTGATCTGATGAAACTACTGATGTGCATAAGAAATGCTAGTTTTGCTTGAAAAATATAGATAACCGGTTTTAACCCAAGAGGATTTGAGCAATAATCTAGGAGTCTGTTAAGGGAATCATTTCAAGATCAGAGAATGTTCGGGAAAACAATTAATCATAATATCTCTAAATTATATTATTTTTGTTAAGAGTTAATACATAAATTATCTGGTTAAAAAATTATGAAAATTCCCTTGAGAGGTAAAAATAGTCTGAGTTGACCCTGAATGAGAAAGTACTTTGAGAATTCGTACTTAACTCGATTAAGTACGTATTTAATTGTTAAGATCCTAACTTAGTGCAGAAAAATTCCTTATATTCCGTTTGTAAAATATGAGAAGGCACTTGACCCAAAAATATCCGAGTTATAAGTAAATACCGGAAGAATGATTTATCAATGGTGCTCTTTTGTCAGAATTATTTGAAAGGACTGAAGTAAATGATAAGTTTGAATTTAATAATAAGATCGGATGGAAGGAAATGATTGTAATACAATGGATCTGTGAAATGACCAAAATATCCATGGTTCTGTGAAATGACCAAAATACCCCTGGTATGGAAATAACCAAGAATATCACCAAACTCAGGAATGATTGGATATCCCCAAGCTCTGAAATTAATGGAATAAAATTGAGCACCAGAATGACCAAAATACCCTTATGACCTAGACTAAGTAGAGGTATTGGACTAATTAAGGAATTCAAATAAACATAGGTGTTGTACTACCCTTAAAAGTAATAGAATATAATTTAAGTGAGTAGATCAACCCTAAAGCTATATCAATACCTGAATGACATAGATATTACTTGAATGCGTGTTCATCTTCTCAAGTTTGGCTCGATGATAATTTTGGAAGTATTCAGCTCAGCTCAGCTCTAAATCGCATTCAGTACTAAGAATTGAACGTTTGTTCGACAAATCAACCAAGAAAACCAAATTGAATGGAACGGAAGTACAATATGTATCTGAAATTCAGGAACGTTTGAATTACTCTGGAAAATCCTGAAGTAACTGGAATGGACTTGAATGCTAAATGAACTAAGTAACCTCAATGACTGAGGATTGAGTAAGTGATTAGGATAAGCCTGAAAATTCGGATGAACTTACATGATGTATCATCCCTATAGATTATAAACCACAAATCAAGTACGTCAGCATTTCATAGTATCGTGGAAGCATGAAAATGAAATAAAGACAATTAGAATATATGTTCGTCTCCTTAAGATATGTTCAGTGATGACTCAAAAGTTGATTTATGGACAATAATTGTTGGTATTAAAGAGTGAATACCTGGTAGGACAAAGAATGGACCGGTCAACATGCATTAGTTTTGGGAGTTGTTAAACTTGAGTTATTTCAATAATCCGATAGATCGACATCGACTGTAAATGTCCTTAATCTTCATTTCTTCCTTATCAGCTCAAGTTATATTCTGAATAACTGGTGATTCCGTTAGTTATTGAACTATTCCTATAGTGATTCTAAATTTCGACATTCTATTGGTATACTGAAGATCTATATTCCTCTACCTGTTAAGATTATCCAATATCTTTGAATAATATCTATAAATTCTGGTGTATTCCCTACTCACATGAATATTTTATCTGATTTTCGATTTGAATTCTGATCTGATACTTGACATGGATTCTGATATGATATCTGACATGGATTTTGATGTGATACTTGACTTGGATTCTGATCTGATACTTGACATGGATTTTGATGTGATACTTGACATGAATTATGTTTTGGTTTTTGATATATCCGTTTACGGACGAAACATGTTTTATTTGGGGGTATTGCTGGAGGAAGAATACATGGATGCTCCTCGGCTTTGTGCTCAGGGCCTTACTTGCAGGCACAACCTCCTCGGCTGTGTGCTCAAGGCCTTATTGGACGTGACGGGGTTGTATGGTTCTGGGGAACCTACACATTTTGTTCGTGACGGATGGGGGTATATATATATATGTTTTAAAAAATATGTATCTTTTTACTGGTTTTACGTGAACATACTAGAAAACCTATTCTGATCTCCTGAACCTAGACATCTGAAATATTTTCATATGAACTGAATACTATTTGTTACTACCTGCGATATCAATGGACCTCAGCTCAGCCTAAAAATCTGTAGATATTTGAACCAATAAGGAAATGTATGTTTATTTGTATCTGCACGTTCTTCAGCATAATCTGGTAGTTATGTATTACTGAGCTTTCCGAAGCTCACTCTATTACTCAACATTGCAGGTTAAAAAGATTGTACCAGTACAGCTATCGACATCAGTAAGAGAGTTCTTCCGACGTTGTTTTCAGAGTATGATACACGTGATTAGGGGGCATGTAATTGTATTTTGTTTTAATATTTAATTCTAAAAATTTGTTTTATTTCTGTGTACTGATAAATCATTTTATAAGTTACATGTTTTAATAAAAGTTTTTAAATTTTCCGCTACTTTTACAGTGGGTCGCTCCGGTGGCCATAATGTAACACTCCAGATCGGATCAGGTTACCCGCATTGGTCTGAGGGGGTTACATGTTATCGAAAATATTAATATTTTTTTAATATTTTTAATAAAATGTTATTTAAAATATTATTTTTTCTACCATAAATGTTAATATTAGACGTTTCTTAAATTATTTAACATTTTCTATAAAGCACTTACTAAAATATTATTTTCTCCACCGAAACTATTTATATTGAGCGATACCTAAAATGTTATTTTTTTTACCGGAAATAAGGTAGCGAAATTAACATTTCTTATAAAAAAAACAATATTTTATGTAGTGTTTTACCAAAAATATTAAAAAAATATTAATATTTTTAATAAGACATTTTTATTAGTCATATATTAATGCTGGCATAACTACCCTTATTCTTGGCCATTATTACTATACAATTAGTATATTAATTGTATTAATATTCTTGTTTCTTAATAAGAAAACAACCCTTGCCTTCTTCTGTATAGAAGTTAGGATCCCATAAAAACTGAAGACTTTACCGTCCCCCCATGGTTAATCTAAAAGAAATTGCATCTTCTCCAAGGCATTCCATGTGCATCGTTTTTCCTGCTATGTTAAACTACCCTTCCCCTTATACTTTATTACCACATTACCATGTGTCAGCAACCAAAATTTCATTAGAGGTAACTGTACTTTTAAAAAAAATCAATGTGACCCTCTTATTATTTTTCCCCTTCAATGTGGTCTTCTAACACAAAAAATAAATCTTATGCCATCCTTTCATCAATGTCTTTTTGTCATTGATCATTACGGTGCTGATATTGCAGTTTACGGTGCTGATATAGCAGTCACGATTCTGACATGGCAGTCTAGGGTGATAGATTAACATAGCGGGTGATATGACAGATCAATTAAATTGTTAACTCAAACATAACAAACGGACTGTCATATCAGTACAGTGAACCGCCATATCAACACCATGAACTGGCATGCCAATATTGTAACGGTCAATGAAGAAAAATGTTGGTTAAAATGCCATATTAGATTTATTTTATGAGCTGGAGGGTCACATTGAGAGAGAAAATAATACGAGGACCTCTTATGCCATTTTACCTATTTTTTTCTTCTTCTCAAACTCAGAGAAAGCTGTGTTTGGTCCATGAAAGCATAAGCAAGAAGGGCAGCTAAGCCGAGAACAATCCCATTCGCTAGAAAGGAATAATACAGGGGGAAGATGATCATTTAGGGATTAGGTAGAACTAATACATCATAAAAATCCGTGCTTGACAAATTGACAACCTGTTTACCTTTCTCACCGACACAACGGCGTTTCGGACACTGGAGAAACGGCCAAACCGGGGGGCATCGTCTTCCGTAACATAGATGGTCAACACGAAGCCGAGTTTACCGTTAATGGAAGAGTTTGGATTCAGAGCCAATAGTTGACTTTAACTCTCACTTGCCTCTTTGAAAAATCCCATTTGCAAATTAAATATGAGTGGATCTTGTGTCCTAGGATCAGGATTCCCTAGTAATAATAATAACACTGCATTTGCATGGACAAGTTCCCAGCCAAAAGTTCCATTTATTTCTTCACTTCCTCAACCATCAGCTTTTCATATACTTGTAATTTCTGGACCCTACTTGATCATATTTAACCTTTAATAAGAAGTGTGCTGAAACCCAGATAAGAAAATTGTCTCTTTTAGATGAAAACTTCATTTATTGGGATGTTTGCATTCTGCAAACTGAATATTTGAAGTCAATGTGATTCTCCCTTTTCCCAGAAATGTTTTTCAAGCACCACTTGTTAAGGTTTATTTAACAAAGTAGATTAGATGAGAGGCATGGAGATTTCCAGGGCTGGTTTCTGTTTATTGCTTTCTGCAGTTTTCATGGTTGTTCTTGTTCCAGTTTCAATAGCTCAGCTAACTCCAAGTGAAACCAGGCTTCTTTTCCAAGTCAAAAAGATTCTCGAATACCCTCAAGTTCTTCAAGGGTGGACAAATTGGACAAACTTCTGTTATCTCCCATCTTCTTCTTCTCTCAAGGTTGTATGTTCAAACAGCCGAGTTACTGAGTTGATTATAGTTGGAAACAGGAGCTCTTCGGCTGGACAAACTTTGTCCCACAAGTTCTCCATCAATTCGTTGTTCACTGTGCTCACCAAGTTGTCTGATCTGAAAGCATTGTCCTTGGTGTCCTTGGGGTTATGGGGTCCCTTGCCATCCAAGATCAACAGGTTTCGTTCACTCCAAGCTCTCAACTTAAGCTCCAATTTCATCTCCGGGGAGATTCCCAAGCAGATTGCATCGTTGAAGAATCTAACCAGTCTGGTTTTGACTGACAATCTGTTCAATGGGAGTGTTCCTGATCTTACAGGCTTAGCACTCCTTCAAGATCTGAACATGTCTGGCAATCACCTTGGACCTCGATTCCCTTCGTTAAGCAAGAGTCTTGTAAGTATAACGTTAAGCAACAATTCTTTTAGATCTGAAATCCCTTCAGGGTTGAAGAAATTCAATCAGCTTCACAAGCTGGACATCTCTTTTAACAAAATCCTCGGACCAATCCCATCGTTTTTGTTCTCCTTGGCTTCGATTCAGTATCTTAATTTGGCACAAAACCAGTTAAGCGGGGCACTTCCTTGGAGTACATCTTGTAGTAAGAATCTCACTTTTGTGGATATCTCGAACAACCTTTTGATAGGAAAACTCCCATCATGCATTGGATCAAATTCCAGGAACAGGACAGTCGTTAGTTCATGGAATTGTCTGTCTGCTGATATGTCGAATCGCCAGCATCCTTACTCGTTTTGCAACAAACTAGCAGTGGCTGTTAAACCGGTTGAAAGGAAGGAGCAGGAGAAGGGGATCAACTTAGGCCTAATACTCGGTATCATCGGAGGTGTTGTTGTCATGGCAGGAGCTATTGTTGTGTTAATTTTGGTCATTGTTAAAAGATCAAGAGGAAGTGAAGATGTAGACGATGACAGATCCATTGCAGATAAAATGTCTGTTCGTAGCTCTCCGAAACCGGCCATCGATCCGAGTAAGACCTATCGAATTTTATGCCTTCCTTCAAAGGAATTAACTCAAGATTGTTAACGTGCCAAACTTGGTTGCTTTGATACACCACAGGGCGTGTTCCTCAGACGATGAGATCGGCTGCAATCGGGCTCCCTCGTTATCGTGTTTTCAGCTTGGAAGAAATCGAAGATGCAACCAACAACTTCGACCCATCAAATTTCATGGGGGAAGGATCTCAAGGGCAGGTAAAACATTTGTGTTAAATCTCATTACATGAAGCTATATATAAAAGGTTACATTAAAGTTGAACAATGGGGCGGTTTGGATGTTTGCAGCTCTACAAAGGTTGCCTTGTAGATGGCTCAGTGGTGGTGGTAAAATGTTTGAAACTAAACCAGAAACATGCACCTCAAAATCTGATGCAACACATGGAAGTCTTGTCCAAGCTAAGGCACAGGCATTTGGTTAGCGTTCTGGGACACTGTATCGTTAACTACCAGGATCATCCCAATATTGCCAGCACAGTGTTCGTTGTTTTTGAGCACATCTCCAATGGAACATTACGGGACTACCTTACTGGTAAAGCTAAAAGCTGCCCCCTTAAACAATTTACTCGTCAAAGGACTCAAATTTGCATTTGATTTGATTTTGACAGATTGGAGAAAGAAGGAGATACTGAAATGGCCACAGAGAATGGCAATCACCATTGGAGCTGCAAGAGGAGTCCAATTCTTGCACACAGGGATTTCACCTGCAATTTACGGAAACGATTTGAAGATTGATAATATTCTGTTGGATGAGACTCTTACAGCCAAAATTAGTGATTACAACATCCCATTGCCACTTAAGGTATGGTAAACAACACCAAATACACATTGGATTTAATCTGCCCTCGTTTTTCATGTGTCTTCCTTGATGAAATTTGCAGACAGGTTCAGAAAGCCCCATCTCCAATCGGCTTAGCAGTGATGAGAATGGTGAGAAGGAAGACATTTATCAGCTGGGAATTCTTCTGCTACAAGTCATTACTGGTAAACTGGCCACATTCACAAGCGAATTGAGCGAGCTTAAGCATCAGGTAAACAAGTTTCTTTCCTCTACTACTTCTTTAATGGCGATATATAAAATAAAAGCACTAAACACTGAATTAAATCTTGCCATGCAGCTGGAAGAGAGCTTGGCAGAAGGACCATCAAAGCTGAGAAGTGTGACAGACCCTTCAATAAGGGGCACTTTTGCATATGACTCGATGAGAACCACGGTTCAATTCGCCATCAATTGCCTGTCCAAGGATTCAACCAAGCGCCCCTCGATTGAAGACGTGCTTTGGAATCTGCAATACTCGATTCAGGTCCAGGAAGGATGGACCAGTAGCGGGAACTTAGCCACACATTTGTAATACTGCTTCATTACAATTTCTTTACCCTTTTTCAGCAACCATAATTTATTATCTTCTGTGACTTCACAGCTGTTGCAAAAATAAATGTGTTTGTAATTCCACTTTGTACTTGCACAAGATTCTTTGGTAAAATCAGCATCATGGCAAATTATCCATGTGGCAACATGGTCCACCATCATTACTTCTGTCAGACACCTTAAGTCATTCCCTCGTTGAATTACTCTTCCAAAATTATTTGGGTAAAGTACACAAATGGTCCTACGATTATAACGTGTTATTTTATTGAGTCTCTTAACTATTAAAAGTTATAAAAGAATTCTCAATATTACTCTTCCTAACTCGTTCTTTTCCATTAAAATTTTGGCGGTCGTTTAAACTAAATATTAACATGTTGACTGAGATAAAACAAAATCTTATCCCAAAATAGTTTGCGATGTATTTTGTGGATCGAGTCTTCATTTATATTATGTCGTCGAGTTAGTGATTGAAACATTATATCGTTGAGCCAATGCTTGAAAGCAACGACAGTTCCAATAAACATTATTAAAATATAATTTTATTATATCATAGTTAACAAGTTAATGTCCAACTCATATTCGTCAATGAATCATTTTCAAACTTTTAATAGTCAAAAGATTCAATAAAATATCACCCTATAATCAAGAGACTATTTACATATTTTACCTTGTTACTTTTGGGACTCGTAATGAATTACGAAGAAAAAAGTTATAGTGAATAAGTACTAGGGCTCAACTCCTTGGACATAAGGCAAGTGGATCCGATAATCATCTTGTTCAAATACCCTTATGTATGTAATTCAGGTTAAAACTTGTTTTGAACTGAATGTTAATTTGTTGACTGAAATAAGATAAAATTTAATCTCATAATCATTTGAGATATATCTTATGGATTGAGTCTTTATTTACATTATGTCAGTGAATCAGTATTTGAAATATTACATCGTCAAATCAGTCTAATCAAGTAAGAAAAAACATACTTCAACCTTAGCTAGAGTGATTATATCGTAAGAAAATTCATGTTTTTTTTCTAACGATCAACGCTTCCTATTGATGTGATAGGTAAATATTTTTAAATTATTTTTAAATATATTTCTATAAGTACATATATAATTAATTATAATTATAGTTCACTCTAATTTTTTGTGTGGCTAAAGTGGCATCATACATATATTTGTTATGTTGACAGTTAGTCAACTAATAAATTTCACCCAAGCAAGAGAGATTTTGCTCAAAATTAAACGTTGAGGGCTAAAATGCTCCAAAAGAAAATGATAAAAGACAAAGTGAACATTTATACAAACATTAGGGATAATTTTATTATTATGCCAAAAAAATAGGAAAATTTACAACGTTTTCTTCTTAGGTAGCATTATGACGTGTATTTATGTATATTCAACATGACAAAATGAAAATTATGAAAAAATAATACACATTAGATGTGTTATTAATTTTTTTAATGATAAATGAACTAGATTGAATTATTTAAATAATTAGATAATTTGATTGATAAAATACAAAAAATCAATGATAAAAATAAAAATAAATAATAATTAAATGATCATACAAATAGTTTACCTTAAAGAAAATGTTTAATATAAAAATAAGTGTATAAATTATACCTTTTTTTTTATAGATTTCTAAACTATTTTTTGACTCATCTAGATACCTAACGGTACAAACATTATCACTTTAGGTGCCCGAACCGTCAACAACGTTAATTTCTCCATTAAGTGACACGTGTCACAATTTGATAATTTTAAAATTTTTATTTAAATTAAAAACATAAAAATATTTTTTAAATTAAAAACCCATATTTTTTTGAAAGTACAAAAAAGAACCCCAAAACCCTAAAATTATTAATTCCAACTCCATACCAACCGTCGCTGGCCATCACCAACTGCCTTTCGCATTGTTGAACGACCTTCCACCCATCATCAGTCCTCCACCGCTGACCATCCTCCTGTCGTTGTCCCAATCCCCCAATCCTTAAATCTCTTACCCTAATCCCAAATTTATTAGTTATTTTTTGGAGAGGGGAAACAATAACAAGGGGTTGTCGATGCAGCTGCTGAAAGGTGAACGACGGAGAGGGGAAACGACGAAGGTTGTCAAGCAGATGGTATCGACGGTCTCCATGGCCTTGAGTCATCTATTCTTAATGTCGAATGACGAGGAGAGATTATGATGCTCAATGATGAGTCGATGGTTCAACGGCGGCGGTGTGGTTCGATGGCGATGGTAACAAAAATGGCAATCGATGATGGCTGTTAACGGGATTGGAATAAGCTATTTTAGAATTTTAGTACTTTCTTTATAATTTCAGAAAAATGGATTTTTTTTTAAAATATATATAATTTTATGTTTTTTAATTTAAATAAAATTTCAAAATTGCATGAATGTGACATGTGTCCTTTAATGTAGAGTTTTAGCGTTGGTGATGGTCCGAACACCTAAAATGATAATATTTGTTACGTTAGACATATGAATTGATCAAAAAAATAGTTTAATCACCTATTCGAGAAAAACGATATAATTTGTACACTTATTTTCGTATTAACACTAAAGAAAATCCCAATGTTTGTATGAGTTTAACATCAACATTTTAACCAATTGGGAGAGGGGTTCGAGTATTATTTTAGCAAAATTTATTGTTACTCATCCCCATCATTCGCAATCAGCCACTAAACTAAACCAGCTTTGGTTTCTCTCACTTTCCTCTTAATTTTTCTCGGCAAAAACAAGCATGGTGAAAGGACCTGGTCTCTACTCCGATATCGGCAAAAAGGCTAGAGGTTAGGCTTTTCTCATTCTCCACTTTATTTCTCATTTCACCTTCTTTTTATTCATTCTTATTCTTGTTTTATTTTAATTTCAGATCTTCTTTACAAGGATCACCAGTCGGACCACAAATTCACTGTCACTACTTACACCTCCAATGGAGTCGTGAGTTTTTTTTCTTTTAATTTTTCAACATTTTAAACATTTTTTTCTTCACATCTGATGTTCGGTATCGATTATTTTTATTTGCTTTCTTCTGCTTATTCCGAGTATTGTTCTCTTTATGTTGAATTTCAAGATTTTTATGTAAAATATGATCTGCATTCAGCATTTTATTTATTTGTCATGTTTATGTAAAATGTCATTATTTTGCTTGTTATACAATTCTGTATGATTTATTTGCGTATATTTTTTGTTCAATATGCTCGCATGAGTATTTTGTCTGTTTGATCTTATGAATTTATGACCGATCTTGAGATTAATGGTTTTGACTCTTTGTTTCCCTTTTTTCAATATGTTACTGTGTTTTCTCGTTCATATGCTGATTCTTTAATTTGATATATATGTCAGGCAATCACATCAACTGGGATTAAGAAAGGTGAATTGCTTTTGGCTGATGTAACCACTGAGCTGAAGAACAAGAACATCACAACCAAAGTGAAAGTTGACACTAATTCTAATGTAAGTTGTAAAACAATTTGACAAGTTTTTGAATTTTAATGGTCATGCTCATATAGTTATTGCATGCAATCTCATTATGATTAATACAAAGGTAGGCAAAGTTTTGGACTAGTACTGTTTTACTCATTGCCATGGTGAATTCAGAATTGGCTTCATTATTATCTCATTCTGATGAATATGAAGGTAGGAAATGTTTTGGTCTTGTACCGTTTTTACTCGGTGTCATTTTGAATTTTTTTTCTTTTTCTTTTGTAGCTATTTACCACTTTTACTGTCGATGAACCTGCACCCGGATTGAAGACAATATTTAGTTTTATTGCCCCTGATCAAAGGTCTGGCAAGGTAATGGCGATTTCCTTACTCCTGTCATAAACTTCTTTCCAATATTACCAACATTTTCAGGATTCTGGTTTATGTAACGAGCTGTAGCTATGTTTATCAATTGATTCTACAAACTAGTAGGTTTCGTGTGGTGATGACAAGGCCTTTATCGTCGTTGTAACAGGTGGAACTGCAATACCACCATGAGTATGCTGGCATAAGCACTAGCATCGGTTTGACTGCTAAACCCATTGTTAACTTTTCCGGGGTGGTCGGAAATAATTGTGTCTCTGTTGGGACCCATCTTTCATTTGACACTGCCAATGGAAACTTTACCAAATTGAATGCTGGGCTGAATTTCACCCATTCTGACCTTGTTGCTTCCCTGACATTGTAAGTACAGTTCCTTCAGCAGAGTTGCTTTAACTTTTAGTTTATATCTACATTGCTATGATATGACCTCCCTACTTACTCGACTTGAGTCTGAGTAACATAAGTTTATTACATATTAATATATCGATATTCTCATATGGGACTAAATTTCTTTATATGATCAGCTAATTTATTGGCCTGGAAGCATGAAATCGTGAAAAGTTGTGCTGGAATATCTGTTTGAATGATTCTCTTTCCATTTTCTAAGCTTCTGCGTGTATTCCATTATTCTGCTTGTTACGCTTCTGGTTTTGACAAGGTTATTTTTGTTGATATCGACAGAAATGATAAAGGCGACACTCTTAATGCTTCCTACTACCACATTGTTAGCCCATTGACCAACACGGCTGTTGGTGCGGAGCTGACCCATAGCTTTTCAATTAACGAGAACTCCCTCACAATCGGTACGCAGCATTCACTTGACCCGTTGACAAGGGTGAAGGCTAGACTGAACAACTATGGCAGAGCAAGTGCTCTGATCCAGCACGAGTGGCGCCCGAAATCTCTCTTCACAATCTCCGGAGAGGTGGACACCAGAGCCATTGAAAAGAGCGCTAAAGTTGGGCTGGCATTGGCACTCAAGCTGTAGGGAAAGGCGATATTGCTGCGCAAATTGAACGTGAAATCAACTGTCGCTTACATTCTCTCGCTTGTTTTCTTGTTCCAGTCATTAAACTTGGTAGGTGGAGAAAGGAAGGCCCCATTCCAATCATTGTTTGATTGACAATCAATCTAATCATCGTTTGATGAACGACCAATGACGTCACAACAATAAAATTGATGCTCCTGACGTGGGTTTATCTCTTTTTATGACTTTTATCTAAAAAATCGCATAAAATAAAAATATTTCAACAAAACACATATAAAATTATGAGTAAAATACGCATTTAGTATCTAAACTAGTAGTCTTTTCAAAACTATACCTAACATTAAACTTTTGTTTCATTTTAGTATTTTCCGTTAAAAATTTAATGGAAATGACATTTTTATGGGTAAATTATATCATTATTCACTTAATTATATTCTCACTCCTATTTTGGTCATGAAAGTTTAACAATTTTCAATTTGACTACTCAACTTTCAAAATTGCTCATGTTTTAATCACTCTAATTTATTTTATTAATAATATTTTGTGACATGATATTTTTTTTATTAATATGTAATTAAAAATAAAAAAATAAATTTAAAAGTTGGAGTGATTAAATTAAGTGTAATTTGAAAGTTAAGTAATTAAATTAAAAAACTTAAACTTCAATGACCAAAATAGGAGTGATAAGATAGTTGAGTGATGAATGATGTAATTTACCCATAAAAAGTGCTAAGTTGTAACAGCTCTGTCAAATTTTTAACGATGAGTATTAAAATGAAACAAACGATGGGATACTAAAATAAACAAAAACTAAATATTTTTCGTTGTTTTGATAAGTTTTACGTGTCCAAAGTTTTAACGTGATATGTGTAACACTATCATTTTGAAAACGTGTTATGTGTTGTATTATCATGATGTACACATGACACATATCACATCATAACTTTAAATACAAAAAACTTATCATGTTAATGACTAAATCTGTCTCAAAAGATGTGAAGACCCTCTGCTACTTTAAAAATGAGGCCCTTAAAATATTTTATAGTAGATAAAATTGTAAAATAACAAAATTTATCATATTACTATTGTTTCTTACAAAAAAAAAAATCAAACATATGAAATTAAGTTTTCTCCACTGGAATTTCTTCACTTGTGCGTACAATTACAAAAATATTTTTTTGGGTTAGCAGATTCTTTTCTAAGTGTGGGCCCTCAAAATTTTGAGGCACTGTGACGTATTACAAATTACATTTACAAATGGACGGGCTTATTAATGACAAACGTTGATTATTAGTCAACTAACAATTTTTATTTAATTAGGATTGTTTGCTCAAAATTGAAATGTTGAAAGCTAAAGTGTTCCAGAAACAATGACTAGAATGACTATTTAATTAAATAGGAGTATTTTTTATTATCGTGCCTTTTAAAGACACTCCGGATCTAATTTTTAAGATAAACTATCCATTTGGTCATTCACCTCTTACTTATTTTTTTTGTCACTCAACTTTTATTTTTTTTTTATAAATCATACATAACGTTATGTTTTGAATATCTTTTGGTCACTCATGGTTAAAATATTAACAATGACGACAACTTGATAATTTTTATTATTTTTCAATGTTGATATGATATTATTTTATGATGACGTATCATTATCACTATTAATTTTTTAGCAGTAGGTGACCAAAACATAACTAAAATATAATATTAAGTATGATTTTAAAAAATAATAGTTGAATGACTAGAAAAAACTAAATAATATGAATGATCAGATAGGTAGTTTACCCTGTTTTATAAAACAATGTTAAACTGATGCTAACAATGTAATTTTTTTAGAACACAAAGGTAGAAAATATCTAAGCTAGTTTACTATGTTTCCTCTACGATCTTTCATTAATAGATTTTCTATTTCCGCCGGAGGGTCTTCAAAGTTGTAGAGTTCGAATGGGAGGTTTCATGTCATCTTTGTCAATCCGTCGGCAACTCTGTTTCGTTCTCTCAAAATATGGCCAAAATATAACTGCTACTTTTGCTAAATTAATCAGACGACATGTGGTATCATCGGTGATACTCTATCTATCAACACACCTTACATCAAAAGTTTGAATACTTCTTTATTGTCTGTCTCTATCATGAACATTTGTAAACCGATATTCCATGTCATTTAACATAAAATGTTAATACTTTGATATATTTATAATAATCGAATTTAAAATAAAATAATAATAACTTTTTTTTACCATTGAGTCGTGACAATTTTCAACTTCGACTGTGCAGAAAGGCTTTGTTTGGATGCTCTTTGCTTTATAATTCATATGATCTACAGTAGGATTAGAGGTAGACGATTCTCCAACTCGGCAACTATCAGTCATCACAAAAATATTTAATCGTTCGAGGGAAAAGAAAACAAAAGAAACAAAAACGATTGATGGGAATTGCTCAATCATCGTCGTTCATTCGATACTAAATTCAATTTGTTGAGATATTTTCCCAATTTCCCACCTCTCACACCCACTCCTTTTCTTCATTTTTCACCTGTAAAGGACAAAAATCGAGCTTTGAACTCGACACCCTTCGCCCTTCTCCTAGTAATATTAACAATTTCTCAAGCTCTTCTGTTTTGTTTCTGTTTGTGGGTCACTTTTTTTTGTTTGCTTTTTGGTCTGGGAATTCTTCAAGGTTCTTTAAAAATATATTCCTACCCACATGGGATTGGTTCCAATCGGGAAACCCAGAATCTCAGGTCTCAAGAAACAACAAAAGCTGCAACAACGTCGAACATGGATTCAAAATCGGGTTTAATCCAACAATCTTTCAACTCCCGTTATTCCGAATGGGTCCGGGAAGCTCTCGACGAATTATCCGACAATTTCACCATCACGGATCCTTCGATTTCAGGCCACCCAATCGTTTTCGCAAGCCGGAGCTTCTTGAAAATGTTGGGTTATTCCCGGGAAGAAGTAATCGGTCATAACGGTAATATATTTCAGGGTCCCAAAACTAATCGGAGGACGGTGATGGAGATAAGAGAAGCGATTCGAGAGGAGAGGGGTATTCAAGTGAATTTGGTGAATTACCGTAAAGACGGGACGCCGTTTTGGATGTTGTTCCATATGAGTCCCGTTTTTGGGAAAGAAGATGGGAGGATGATTCATTTCGTGGCTGTTCAGGTCCCGATAACAAGGCGGCAGAGGAGGAATGGAGGGGTGAGCTTCAGTGAGGATGCCTCTGGCTTGAATGAGATTATGTTCGGCTCCTGTAGGAAGGAAGTGGATACCAATTCTGTGCTCGAATTGGGTCGTGTTTTGTCCTCGGTTTCGAGTAGTAATGGTTCGATTTCTCGGCTTCATCTTTTGTATCGTAGCCATTATTGAATGATCAATTGCAGTACTAACTAAATATTTTCATTCATTATGCTTTTACTCGTATATTTGTTATCAACTGCTCATTTAATGTGGAAACTGGAAACATGTTCATAAATAGCAGGTATAACAAGTATGCTGAGTGCCATTATCAAATGCAATTCACAATTTTATTTCAAGTCACTTCTTTTATCTTCTGGATTGAGTTTTGATTATATGCTACTTGATGTTTCACTCTTTGTTTCGATGATAATAATTGACACTATGTTATCATCTTTCATTGCAGTTGGATTTAGTTGTTTTGAGTTCTTATCCAAGTGTATTTTACAGTATTAGATATTGAAGAGACATGCGAGGCAAGCGATTTCGAGAAGCGAAGGGCAGCGAATGCATTTAACAGCATCTTGTTCGTGCTAACCCACTATAGTGAGTCGACTGGCAGATTGGTCTGCGGGAAGAGATGCATTGTGCCTGGTGTAGGCTACATCAGTTCATCACTAAATATATCACTTGGTAGAATCAAACAGAGCTTTGTACTGTGAGTTTGCAAAATTCTTTATTTTCAATTTCATGATGATAACCAACTTTAGCAGGGAGTTCTGATGTCTCTTACTTTTGGTTACCTGCAACATATTTCCGTGGCCTTGCAGAATCGATCCACATTTACCCGGGCTGCCTATAGTTTATGCAAGTGACACCTTCTTAAAATTGACAGGTGCTTTAACTTATCTGATATACAATACCAGATATCATTGTTAACCTCGTATAATTACTTTACCTGTGAAGAGGGAAAGGATTAGTGTAGATTTTATATAAATTGATTTAAGGATGCATTTTTTTGTAGCTGCTTACATGCTTCTTTGCCTCCATAGGCTATGATAGGCATGAAATATATGGGATTAATTTTGCAGTTTTGAATGGTGCTGATACAAATACTTCGAGTGTATATCAGGTAAACTGCTTTTGTCCAATATAAACATAAAAGCTTTCTGGGTTATATAGTTATATAAGGACTTCCCATTGGGTGGATGACTACATATTGCCTACTTTTTCGTCCAGATACAGGAAAGCATTCAAAAAGAACAAGCATGCACAGTACGTATCTTAAGTTACAGGTTGATACTTTGCCACTTCCAATATTACTGAAGTATGGATTTGTTCCCCTAAGGTTTAATCATGCATGTTTTATTACTGTACCAGGAAGGACAAAAGCTCATTTTGGAATAGCCTTCACTTATCGCCTGTTCGTAATGCCTCCGGCAAGGTAACGTGTTATTGCGTATGCGTTACCTTTTATAAGTCCATATAAGTTCTATGATCTTAATTTTTGTTGTTCTGTTGACAAGATCAATATTATTTGCATGTTGTTGTTGGTCACTGCTGTGCCTTCAGCCTCGAACGCTGAAGTCAGGCATTGATGAATTGGGTAAATCAGTTCTATTTAACATGAATTTTTTATTTTTGTTATGCCTCTTATAAGCAAAGGATGATTTTTGTTGTTTGTTTTTCCGGAAAGCCAATTAAGGCTTCTTTTTTTTTTTTTTGGGGGGGGGGGGGGAAAGCAATCCAGTCCAGTAGGCTTACCTGTCATAACGTAAGACCACAGTGATACTTCGTAGCATATGAACGATAGAATTTGAGCCTGTCTGTTTAGTACTTGATATTTTTTCCGCTTCATTCCATCTCTTTTTTACTTTGAAATAATCTGACTTCTGCTTTGTTATTCTCAATAGTGACTGTATTTCATGATTTGTGTTTTTAATACCTCCTTAATTTTTCATATTGAATGAATTGATGCTAAAACTAGGTAATGCTGGAAGTTTATAATGGTTGGGAACATGAGATCTAGGCTAAAACTCAGTTAATGTCGATGATCGAGCTGTTAATAGCCCATAAGTCTGGTTTTACATGTTTTAGTTTTTCTCTATCATTTAAAGCCTGCTTGGAGAGTATCGATGCTATAGAGATTGTTATAGCTTTTTTATAGTTGTGATTGGCACTCTCTTACACCGAGTATTTCTGCTCAGATAGCTTACTTTGTGGGCGTTCAGATGGAGGAAGAGTGTAAGAACACGGACAGACACGGGCTAAGCCCCGAGATGAGGCAACTTAGCACTGTCGGTGCGGTGAAGGTTGCAGTGAGGAGCTTATCAATGGCTGCTGGCTCCTCCAAGTCATAAGACGGCTCCTGTATTCTGTGCAGCTGTTATATATCTCTCACCAGGCACTTGAATCCAGTCTCAAACGTGTAATCTCACCTATTACCTGTCCGAAATGAGAAAATGTAAAGGAAAAGGAATAATGGAGCAGAGATTGTTTCTATGGGGTTCATTGGTATGTAACATTGTTTATATAGAAAATGCATCAATAATGCTTTTCCTTTTTGGTAAGTAAATCTCTTAGTCACCAAATTTCATCCACTTGTCCCCACAATTGTTTCATTCAAGCAATCTTTCTTTTATCCTTTTTATTATCAATGAAGGCTGATATATAGAGAAACATACAAGGCCAAGAGTACAAAGAAAAGAAGTGGCTAACAAATGCAAAGGCTAAAATATCTGATTCTGTCACTATCCAACCCTCAGTTTTCATATTGACATTACAGGCTTACTGATAACTGACAGTATCGAGTCTCACTGATATGTGATTTCCAATTGGATAATGTTATACCTTCGAAGAAAATCTTTTGAATTCATCAAGTCTCCGTCAATAGTGTTCCTCGGAGGATTACATTCTTCGAACAAAGCCTCCAAAGTCTCCCGGAGACACCAGGCTCTCTTCGGGACCACATTCATTGGGAATGTTCTTCGAAATTCATATTCCTTAATCATTGGCAGTTAAATCCGGTAATTAACAGTCATACCTACCTACATAGTCTGTCAGTCTATTAATATGTATGATGACTATAAGTTTGACACCAATCATCCTATAACTGAGATATTTATTCTTCCGAGAAAAGATTGAAAGAGCGATCTCACTCCTTAATACTCTTTTTCATTCTTAATCTTAGAGCATTCTTTTCGTTTTTGTCATTGTTTTCCTCCATTCTCTTTTAGAAAATCACGGCAACGGATGTCTCTATACCGGACAACTCTTCACTTAAATCAAAATGAATGAATCATCGACGACGGACACAATCCACTTGTTCTCATTAGGATAGTTTTTATGGTTGTTTCTTGCACAACGTAAAATGTGGGCTAGTAGTTCACTGAAAGTAGCGAATAACATTTTGTTTCCGGGCTTTAGTTTTGCTTGATTCTTTGATTAACTTGTGTCCTTTAACAAGAATATATAGATTTCCATGCCAATGGTAGTTTTTGTATACAAGATATAAGGTACAAGTAGAAACTACACAAACATTGAACATATAAATATGCTAATATTTCGTTTCTTAAATGTTCTTTTATTGGGACTGAACTTTTCTTAAATTTATGTACACAAGATACTATTGTTCGACAGAGTGAGATAAAGTTCTGCATTCTGAGTTAAGCCATAATTTAGGGGTTTTCCTCGGAAGGGTGTGGATATCCTATTGTTTGATGGACTTTATTAATTCTTTTTTTTGCTATGATTTTTTGGCGATTATATTTATGCCTAGTGGTGTCTTGCATATAATGCTTGGTGCAGCTGTCTTTTACTTCGTCATTGTGATGTTATACAATTCTGCTATTAATATTTGTGAGTTTTCTTCCAGGTAGGTGATGTAAAATGAAAAAAGAAACTGTTCAAGGAGCAGAAATTTATCCTGCTGCACAACAAATGCTTATCCATAAGGGTAAAGTTCTTAAAGATTAGACGACTCTGTCAGAGAATAGTGTTGCTGAAAATAGCTTTATAGTGATCATGTTGGCAAAGGTGAAATTAGTGTTTCCCCCCATTCCCCTCTCTTTCTCTCACTCCCTCAGGTGTTTGTAAGTTCTTATCTAATGCTTCCTAACCTTGCTGGCCATAATGTTTGCTTGTAATAAATGCCTAAACTGAAATAATTTTCCACTCAGTTGTTGGATTCAGAAGCTATCTTAGTATTGGTTTAGGATGGAGTGTGGTGCCATTAAATCTTTTGGAATGTGTTTGTTCCAATTAGAAAAGAATGAAGAAATAATATGCGTCTTATTTCTTCAATGAGTACAAGGCTCCTTTTATACAGAGGGAAATTACAACAAAATAAAGAAACTAATTAGAGCCAATATTTGACAGCTTCTACTTTCCTACTTTTTCTTGATTTACATCTTTTACTTTATATATTTACATAGAAAACAAATCCTAGAATATCTCACAGATTATGACTAAATCAAGGCTTTCAATGACCAAATTTCCAACACTCCCCCTCAAGCTAGTTTAAAGATATCTTCCATAGCCAGCTTGCTAGTCAGATTACCAAATTGCTTCTTGTGTAGTCCCTTCGTTAGTACATCAACTAATTGTTCATCAGTTGGAAGATATGTCATGCATATTATTCCCGCATTGACTTTCTCCTTGATGAAATGTGTATCCACTTCTATATGTTTCGTGCGATCATGAAGAACTGAATTATGAACAATAGCAATAGCAGCTTTGTTGTCACAATAGACCTTCATTGGAGTCGAGTAAGAAAACTTCAATTCTTCAAGAATCCTTTTTATCCACATCGCCTCGCAGATTCCATGGGCAACGGCTCTGAATTCTGCTTCAGCACTACTTCTAGCTACCACATTTTGTTTTTTACTCCGCCATATAACTAGGTTTCCTCCAACAAAGGAACAGTATCCAGACGTTGATCTTCTGTCTGTAACACTTCCTGCCCAATCTGTGTCTGTGTAGACTTCAACTTGAAGATGTCCATGTTTCTTGAACAATAAGCCGCTTCCTGGAGTTTCTTTCAAATATCTTAAGATCCTATAGACGGCCTCGAAATGCTCCGCCCCTGGTGAGTTCATGAATTGACTTACCATGCTAACTGCAAAAGCAATATCATGCCGTGTATGAGACAAGTAAATCAACTTCCCTACAAGTCTCTGATATTGTTCCCTGTCCTTTACTTCTTCAACCTTAGCAGCTTGTAACTTCAAGTTTGGCTCAACCGGAGTTTCAACCATCTTACAACCAAGTAGACCTGTTTCTCCAAGGAGATCAAGAACATATTTTCTCTGATTGACAAATATGCCTTCCTTAGATCTTGTAAATTCCATTCCAAGGAAATACTTAAGAGCTCTCAGGTCCTTAATTTGGAACTCATTTGCTAGTCTTTTCTTCAGAATAGTTAATTATGTTTCATCATCACCAGTGAGAATAATATCATCAACACGAACAATCAAAATTGCAACTTTGCCATCTTTTGAATGTTCATAAAATATTGTGTGATCAGCTTGACTCTGCAAGAAGCCATAACTGATAACTGTCTATCCAAAGCGATCAAACCAAGCTCTTGGTGACTGTTTGAGTCCATATAGTGACTTATGTAATCTGCATAATTTGTTATTGCCAAGTTTCTTCTCAAATCTTGGCGGTAGGCTCATATACACCTCCTCTTCCAGATCACCATTGAGAAATGCATTTTTAACGTCAAGTTGATGTAGAGGCCAATCGGAATTCACTGCAAGAGATAACAACACTCTAATAGAATTTATTTTAGCAACATGAGCAAAAGTCTCTTGGTAGTCAATCCCATAATTATGAGTAAATTCTTTAGCCACCAATCTCGCCTTGTATCTCTCAACGCTTCCATCAGCTTTACTTTTTATTGTAAACACCCATTTAAACCCGACTATTTTTTTTCCTTTGGGTAGATCGACAATCTCCCATGTACCACTTCTCCTTAGAGCATTCATCTCCTCCATGACTGCTAATTTCCAATTCGGATCATCCAATGCTTCCTGTATATTCCTTGGAACAAACAAATGTGAAATCCTAGATGTGAAAGCTTTATGGTTTTTTGATAGTCTGTGATAGGAAAGATATTTTACAATGGGATGTTGAGTGTAATTTCGGACACCTTTCCTAAGTGCTATAGAGACATCAAGATCAGGAATACTAGGTGAATTGTTGGATAAAGTGGAGGAAATCAAAGGTGTAGTAGGGATAAGATTACCTGAAGTTTCGACACAAGAACTTAGATCTTCAGATTGGTTTCGTGCAGGGTTGATATTTGAGTCTTTATTTCTCAAATGAAATCTCTTCCTAGTATAAACTGAAGCTCAAAATTCAAATCACGTTGATTAGTTTGTAGTACTTCTCCCCCTGAATGAGAATCTCCTTCATTAGGCACCAACAAACCTGGTTCTCCTAGGTAATCGTTATTAGAAACACTTGAATTTGGATTTTCAAAGCGACCACTCTCAGAAATGCGTGGTTTTTGTGTAGGATAAATGGCATTGGGTAGTGGGATAGAAATGTCCCAAAAATTGTCTTCTACATCAGAATTTTTTGTGAAATAAGGTTTTGTTTCCAAAAACGACACATCCATACTCACATGAAATTTTTTTGTTTGAGGATCAAAACACTAATACCCCTTTTTATTTGAAGAGTACACCAAAAAAATGCATTTAATAACACGTGGGTCAAGTTTTGAACGAAATTGGCATGGAACATGAACATAGACAGTACATCCAAAAACTTTGATAGGTAACTCAGAAAACAACCTTGTTCCAGGAAAAGATGATTTTAGGCAATCGAGTGGTGTTTTGTATGTTAACACCTTAGTAGGCATCCTATTTATCAAGTAAGCGGCTGTTAAAACTGCTTCACCCCATAAGTATTTGGGAACATGCATGTAAAACATTATGGCACGTGCTATTTCAAGTAAATGTTTATTTTTTCGTTCTGCAATGCCATTTTGTTGAGGGGTATCCCGATATGTAGAGTGATGAAAAATCCCTTTCTCTTTCAAAAATCACCTAAGTGCTCATTAAAATATTTTGTTCCATTGTCAGAATGTAAAATACTAATCTTGGTTTGAAATTGGTTTTCAATCAGGGTGTAAAATTTTTTGAATAAATCTTTCACGTCAGACTTTTTATTCATTAGATAAATCCAACATAACCGTGTGTGGTCATCAATAAAAGTAGCAAACCACCTTTTACCAGGAATAGTAGTAACTTTAGAAGGGCCTCAAACATCACTGTGAATCAGATAAAAAGGTTTGGAGGCCTGATAATCTTTTGGTAAATAAGGGGAACGACGGTTTTTTGAAAAAATGCAATTTTCACAATGAAAGAAGAACAATCAATCCCTTTAATAATTCTGGAAATAAGTGTTTCAAATAAAGAAAACTAGGATGTCCTAGTCTATAGTGCCACAACATTATTTTTTCTCGAACATAAATTGAACTAGGACCACTAAAGATCTGGACTTTTTTATTACTGATAGATACTTCATCAAAGTAATAAAGACCTTCAATCAT